GCTTCTTGGGGAGCCTCTTGGGAGGTGCGTCTCGGAATGTTTTGGGGAGCCTCTTGGGGCCTCTGGGGAGCCTATCGGCGCCTCCTGGGGGCTCTTGGAAGCGCGCGCTTAGGTTCTAGCCTCCTCCCCCCCTTCATTCTCGTCCTCGTCGTCGTCCCTGCTCGGTCTCCTCGTGCTCCTGCTCCTGCTCCTGCTCCTGCTCCTGCTCCTGCTCCTGCTCCTGCTCCTGCTCCTGCTCCTCCTCCTCCTCCTCCTCCTCCGCGTGCTCTTCGTCGTCCTCCTCCTCCTCCTCCTCCTCCTTCTCCTTCTTCTCCTCCTCCTCCTCCTCCTCGTCCTCCTCCTCCCCTCGCTGGAAACATCCTGTCACCCCCAGCTCGGAGACGCAGCGTGGACCTGCTCAGTGAAGGAAGTATCCATCTTGGAAAGATATCGGAAGTTCGGAAGCCAATGTAAGCCGACCTGGGACGTTCTCAGGCGCTTCGCCTGGGGCATTGATGTGGCCCCTCGAGGCCCTCTTGGGTGCAGTCTGGGTCCCCACGGGGACTCCAAGATGGCAGGAAGAGGGGCCCTAGGTCGGTGACGCGGGCGCTCTGTCGCGTGACAACTGTTTCGGCCACCTCGGAACTCTCTTGGGGCGCTCTCGGGGCCCTCTTGGGGCCTTCTTGGGCGAGTCTCGGGCCCCCGAGGTGAGCGAAAGAGAGGCCCAAGGTCGGTCACGCGAAAGCTCTTTCGCGTGCCCTCGCGGGGGCAAAGTAAGGCCTCCTGGAGACCCTGTTGGGTGTTCTTGGTGACCTCTTGGGGCTCTTTTAGGGCCCCTGGCCCTCTCGAGACCCTCTTAGGGCAATTTCTCGCTCCCACTGGGATTCCAAGATGACAGAACATGCGGCCCAAGATCGGTCGCGCGAGCGCTCTCTCGCGTGACCGATGATGAAGCCTTCTTGGAACCCTCTTGGGGCGTTCTTGGGGCCTTTTCGGGGCCATCTTGGGCTTGTCTTGAATCTCGAGGACTGCCGAAAGAGAGCCCATGGCTGGTCACGCGAGCTCTCTATCGCGTGATCTATGTTGGGCACTCGTGGATCTCTCTTGGAGTCTTAATCGGGCCCACATCAAGACCCTCTTGGGGCCATTTCTGTCCCCTACTGGAGCTCCAAGATGGCCGACAGAACAACCAAAGCTCGGTCACGCGGGAGCTCTTTCGCGTGACCGCTCTTGGGATCGCGTTTAAAACCCCCTGCTAAATTGGCCTAAGCTCGTTCACGCGAGCGCTCTTTCGCGTGACCGATGTTGGGACGGTCTTGGGGTCCTCTTGAACCCCTTTGGGACTCTCTCGCAGGCCCTAATGGGGCCACCTTTGGCTCGCATCGGGGCTCCAAGATTGCCGAAAAAGGGGTCAGTGAAGGAAGTATCCATCTTGGAAAGATATCGGAAGTTCGGAAGCCACGTAAGCCAACCTGGGACGTTCTCAGGCGCTTCGCCTGGGGCATTGATATGGCCCTCTCGGGTGCAGTCTGGGTTCCCACTGGGACTCCAAGATGACAGGAAGAGGGACCCTAGGTCGGTGACGCGGGCGCTCTGTCGCGTGACGACTGTTCGGGCCACCTCGGAACTCTCTTGGGGCGCTCTCGGGGCCCTCTTGGGGCCTTCTTGGGCGAGTCTTGGGCCCCCGAGCTGAGCGAAAGAGAGGCCCAAGGTCGGTCACGCGAGAGCTCTTTCGCGTGACCGATGTCTTCTGGGAGCCTCCTAGGCCGTCATGGGAACTTCTACGCGATGACAGCCCAACAGGCGAACATACGAAGAATATACGTTTTCCCACAGGAATGAAACGATGTTGGCTCCTTGCGGCTCTCTTTAGAGCCCTGTTGGGGGTCGCTTGGGGTGTCTTGGAGGCTTCTGAAGCTAATCTTGGAGACCATGTTGGGCGTCTGGCAGCGATTTTCGGACGTCCTGGGTCTGTTTGGGAGTTTCTTGGTGTTTCCTTGGCGCCTTCTCGCAGTCTTCTGTGAGGCTTTCGGGCTCCCCGAGATCCCCGGAGCCCACGTTTGCGAACGTCTTGGGCCCTTCGTGAGCCGTGCCGACAGCGAAAAAAAACAATGTGTTAAAAATGTATGTTTTACAAAGAGAATGAAGCTATTTTGGCCGCTTGAAACTGTATTTGGGGCCCTATTTGGTGTCGCTTGGAATGTCTTGGGGACTTCTGAAAGTGTCTTCGAGGCCATGTTAGGCGTCTAAGAACGACCTTCGGGCGTCTGGCGTCTGTTCTGGAGCCTCTTGGACCCTCCTTGACGCCGAAACCCTGTAAAATCACAGGGAAAATGAGCCCCGGAGCCCACATTTGCGGTCGAGGTCCCGGCCCCGGGCCCCCGGACCCGGTGCGCCGTTATATGTATACTACTACACTTAACTAATCCACTTAACGAGTACACTTAACTAACACTTAACTAATACTCATACATTCACTAATCCACTTAACTAATACACTTAATAGTACACTTAACTAATTGCAAGCACCACCGTGCACTTACAGCCACCACGGCACCGTACACTAACAGCAGAGTTTCGAAGAGAAGAGGGCGAGATGGGGGAGGAGGAAGCCGACAGGACGAACGAAAGGGAGGGAGGAGGGTAGCGTCGAGGAGGAGAATGGGATAATGCGGATCGGGGGAGGTGGAGGGGGAGATCACGGATGATTAGCGGGAGAGCAGGCTTCTGGTACCCCCTTTGCGTGCCCACACGCGTGAAAACACATGCCGAAAACTGGGCCGCTTCACGCACGTTCGACAGGTACCCTTCTTCGCGCATGCATCTTTACGTGTGAAGTATTCTCTGGCGTCTTGGCGCCAACACGCGTGTAAACATGTGCGAAGTGCACGCGCGCCCGACGTATATTGGGTACCCCTCTCTGCGCTCCTGTTTTTACGCGTGGAGAGTCCGACGTCTGCTGCTCGACGCCCCTCCGGTCTAGGGGCAAAGTCCGTTGAGTGTTCTGTTCCTTTTGTTCCTCCTCCTCCTCCTTCTCCTCCTCCTCCTCCTCTCTGCGCTGCAGCGCCGTCGCCTTGCACGCGCTCGCCCGCGAAGGCGGTCGGGGGCGACCGTCAGAGGCTTGTTTTCCCTTTCGGTCTGGGTCAGGGGCTGCGGCTCGCAGGCTGGAGGTTTTTTCCTCAGAACACAGGTCACACAGAAGGCTCCACGAACAGCAAAAACACAAAGAGAACCTTGGGCCCGTGCCCTCGTTGGGGCGAAGATGTGCCGGGAACATGTGAGAGCAAAGCAGGTGTGCGCGTGCCAGGCGCATGCTGCACATCTCGGGTGAAGGTCTACAGAGGTGCTCAGAGCCCTCCCACCACACGCATGCCGGATACGCCCCTTCGCGTCTGCATTTTGACGCGTGACGAATTCGCCAGCCGTGCGTGCACGTGGGATGCCCACCCTCCGCGCACGCGCTTTCGACTTCCTGGGATCGGAGGCCTGCTGCTCGACACCCCTTTTGGTCTGGGGCCAGGGGCCCGACGGCACACGGTGCCTTCGAGGCGCCAGTCCTGTGGCTGCCGCGCCGCGAGCCGCTCGGGCAGATGATGGGCGCTGCGCCCCGTGGAGGAAGCATCGGCCCCCGACTCGCCAGACGGAGGGGGAGCGAGAGGGGTGGAGCGACCGCCCGCTGCGGTGGCGAGGCTGGCGGGCGGCGCGGAGGCCACGGGGTCGGCAGTGCGGACGCTTGAGCGTAAGCCGCCCGCGCGAGGTCGCGCGTTGGCGCCGCCTCTGTGAGGGCACCGTGCCGCGTTGGCGGCCCGCCTGAGGCATCGCGCAGTTCGCCATGCACTTCTCATACCTTCAATGTCGTGGCTTCTTCGAAGCACGAACGGGGCCTCTTGGGATGCCTCGAGGCCTTTTGGGGTCTCATACTTCAACGTCGTGGGCCTCTTGGGATGCCCGTCGGGGGCTTCTTGGAAAGCTCCTCGGGGCTTTTGGGGGTCTTCTCGGGTGCACATCTCGGGGGCCTCGCAGAGGGTGGCCATCTCGGGGCATGAGGCTCGAAATGACAGTTTGTATTCCCCCTCTTAGGTACCTCTTGGGGTTCTCTTGGGCTATCTTGGGACCCTACTTTGAAGCCCTCTTGGGCCGTCTTGGAACCATGGGCGGCGTTGTGGGCCGTTTCGAGACGATCTTGAGGGCCTCGTGGGCCGTCTGGGACGGTGTGCAGACGAAAAAAGAGTATGCTAAAACTTTCTGTTCTCCGCAGGGAGTGGGCCGATTTTTGCCTCTTGAGGCCTTCTCGGCGATCCGCTGGGAGCACTCCTGGGCTGTCTGAGGGGCCAGGAGGGCCATCTTGGAGCCATGTTGGACCGCTGTGGGGCTGCCCTGGGCCGTCTTGGGCCCTCTTGGGGCCCTTTTGAGCCGTCGGGGCTGCCGAGGAAATTGGATTTGGAGTCTCCGCGGGCCCTGGAGGTGCGTTGTCGAGCGCGTACCGCCCGCGTGGGGGGGGGTTCTGAAACTGGATTTGTGGTTCCCAGGGAGATGGAAAGAGGGAGACGGGCACCCAAATGTCTCACACACCTTTTCACCTCCAGCATGCGGGGGTCGGCGGATTGTCCCAGGGCGGGCCACCCCGATGCTGAACATGTACCGAAACTTTTGTAGATGTTTTTCGCGACGCGAGGGGGCTTCGAGATCGGGGGTCGAACATCGAACTCAGGATCTTTCCATGGGTGCCGTCTGGCCACCAGGGCCTGCAACCCTCCCGAAGCCCGAGATTCGAATTTGAACCAGAATTTCGAGGCGAACCAAGCCGTGACGATGAGGGGTTCCCAGACGGACCAAAAAGGGGCAACAAATCACCAAACTTAGACTTTCGAGCCTCGATCCTCGATCCTTCGTCCTTCGTCGCTTAGGTGGCCGCGGCGCTCCTGGAGGGCACCCCGCTGCACCTCGATCATCGATTTTGAGCCTCGATTCGCGACCCTTCGTCTTTTGACCCTCGATCGTCGTCGTTCTGCGTCGCCCAGATGGCCGCGGCGCCCCTGGAGGGCGCCCCGCCGCAGCAGCAGCAGCCCACCGGCGCGGTGGTGCCCCGGCGCGAGAGCAGCCAGACCCAGGCCGCGTGGTCGTCGTCGTCGCCGCCGCCGCCGCTGCCGCCGCCGCCGTCGTCGTCGTCGTCGTCGTCGTCCTCGTCGTCGTCGTCGTCGTCGTCGTCGTCGTCTTCGTCGTCATCGTCGTGGTCGTCGTCGTGCTCGTGGCCGTGGTCGTTGTCGTTGTCGTGGTCTTGGTCGTGGTGGTGGTGGTCGTCGTCGTCGGCGGCGTCGTCGTCGTCGTCGTTGTCGTCGTCGTCTTCGTTTTCGTCCCTCAGATCTGACCGTCGAGGCAGAACCAAACGCGTCGGCCTTACGGTCTCGCCTGGGACCCCCCCCAATTTACGCAGGATTCGCGATCTTGCTGCTCTGGATCGGTGCTCTCGCCCAGGACTCCCTTACAATTTACTCAGGAGTCGCACTCTTGCCTTAGACCTCTTCACACTTCACGAACTAATCGTGATTTACTGTCCCGTTCCTCCGGCCCGCCCGGCAGGGCCCGCCCGCCCGACCCGCCCGCTAGGGTCCTCCCCCCCGGGCTCGTTCGACGCGCAGGTTAGGATCCGCCCGCCCGACCTGCCCGTTATGGTCCGTCCGCTTGCGTGTTTGAAAGCTATAAGCCCCCCGCCCGATCCCAACGCGGTCAAGGCTGCCAAGGAGAAGCTGGAGCAGGCAGCCGCCAAGGGTGCCGGCATAGACCAGCCTTGTCTTCGACAACCTCAATCTCCAGAGGAGTCGCCTGGTTTGGAGTGTTGCTCCGTTGAGTGCAGTTCAGTGCGACGACGTCCACAGCGTGGTCAGCAACGCAGGTGCAAGCGCATGGCCTGATGGGATCAGGCTGTGCGCCTACCTCTATCCTTGCCAAGATCTGCTTGCTGGGTTTGCTCGCAGAGTCGCCTACGACTACAATCGCTGCCCGCCCGTTGCCGCCCGCCCGCCCGCCCCGCCCGTTCGGGTCCGCTCGCTCGACCAGCCCGTCGGGGTTCGCCCGTCCTGCCCGCGGGTCTTTCCTTGTCGGGATTCATCCAGGAGATCAGGACAGAGAGAAGCATCTCAAGGGGGGTAGTCGAGGGCTCGAGGTATACATGTTGAGAAACACGGCGCACTGAAGAGCGACCAGTATCAACACTACATTGGTTGTGGTGGCTTATCAGCATGACGTTCACGATTACGATGTTGATAATGACAGCGTTGATGAAGTGGACGAGGATGATGCTGATGCTAACTCAGATGGTGACGGTGACGGTGACGGTGGTGGTTGCTGTGATGATGCTGCTGCTGATGATGATGAAGCTGATGCTGATGATGATGCTGCTGATGATGATGAGGATGATGATGATGCTGATGATGAAGATGATGATGATGATGATGATGATGATGATGATGATGCTGATGATGATGATGATGATGATGGTGATGATGATTATGATAATGTTGAATGATGATGCTGCTGATGATGCTGATGATGATGCGGATGATGACCTTTATGATGATGATGCTGATTCTGATTATGATGCTGATGATGCGGGTTTTGGTGATGATGCTTCTGCTAATGATGTTGATAACGATGATGATGAGTCTGATGATGATGCTGATGCTGCTGATGATGCTGATGATGCTGATACTGATGCTGTTGCTGATGATGCTGATGACGATGATGATGCTGATGCTGATGCTGATGCTGCTGCTGATGATGATTTGTGATGATGCTGATGAGGATGCGGATGATGATGATGATGATAATGATGATGCTTTTGATGGTGATAATGATGAGTCTCATGCTGCTGATGATGATGATGATGCTGATGATACTGATGATGATTACGATGATGATGATGATGATGATGATGATGATGATGATGATGATGATGATGATGATGTTGATTCTGATGATGCTGATGATGATGGTGATGCTGATGATGATGCTGATGATGCTGATGATGCTGATGCTGATGATGATACTGCTGATGATGATGCTGATGATGACGATTATGATGATGATGATGTTGCTGATGACGATGCTGTTGATGCTGATACTGCGGATGACGCTGATGCTGACGGTGATGGTGGTGATGATGATGATGATGATGATGATGATTATAATGCTGATGCTGCTGCTGCTGCTGATGATGCTGACGATGATGCTGATGCTGCTTCTGATGATGCTGATGACGATACTGATGATGATGGTGATGATGCTGATGATGAGGATGCTGCTGTTGCTGCTGATAATGATGATGATGATGATGATGAGGATGAGGATGGGGATGATGATGCTGATGATGATGATGATGATGATGATGATGACGATGACGATGACGATGATGATGCTGATGATGCTGATGATGCTGCTGCTGATGATGATTTGTGATGATGATGATGCTGCTGATGATGATGATGCTGATGACGATGCTGATGCTGCTGATGATGATGCTGATGAGATGATGATGGTGATGCTGATGATGATGATGATGATGGTGGTGGTGGTGGTGATGATGATGATGATGATGATGATGGTGGTGGTGGTGATGATGGTGGTGGTGGTGATGATGCTGATGCTGATGCTGATGCTGCTGCTGCTGAGGAGGAGGAGGAAGAAGAAGAAGAGGAACACTAATACTCATAATAATAAGAATACGAATCATAATAATCAGAAGACAAATCAGAAGAATAATACGAAGAAGACTCAAAAAAGTAATATGAAGAATAATAGTGCGAAGAAGAATACTAATAATAAACATAATACTAAGAGTAGTAATAAACAGAACACGATCAAGAAGACGAATAATAATATTTTTTAGCATAATAATACTACTACTAATAATAATAACCCATAATAACAATAATAACCATCATCACAATAAGAATATGAATAGTAATACTAATACCAATAAGCAGAATAATAAGAATAAGAGGAGGAGGGGAAGGAGGAGGAGGAGGAGTAGGAATGGTGGAGGAGGGGTACCAGAGAGATGTGGATCAGGGGAACACGTGTAGTCTGGGCAACCACTTGGCTTCATGGAGAGACGACGGTGAGATGCTGAGTGGAAGTCGGTAGTCAGGGCCAGAAAATGCCAGGTCCCCCCTCATAAGTGTTGGGTTCCATCACCATTTTGCACCGACGATTTAATTTGCGTGTCCAGAGAGGCTTGCAGAAGACTGGTCAAAGCTAGGCTTCAGACCAGGCCTCCGGCTTCTGCCCTGCAAGGCAGGGCAGTGATCTCCTCCCCTGCGGACATCGTTCGAAGCGTCTCCTGGTCGGGCTCTCCGCGTGTGGTGCCCAGGCCCGCAGGGGAGGGTGGGGTGGTGTGACTTTGCGCGGGCGGGGGCGATATCCTTGACGGCATAAGCCGCCGTGTGCGCCACGCCTGTAGGCAGCGGCACCCGTTCCCCGCTGGTGTCCTGCTCCCGCTGTCGCCCTTGCCGCTCCTGCCAGAACACCCCTCCTGGGAATTCAGCACCGCAAATCAACGTCAGTGTTGCGACCTGGTAGTCCTAAGTCGTGCTGGGGTATCATTCCTGGAACGTCAGCCATAAGACTCTATGAACTTGTGGCAACATTTTGAAACGGATGCACGCGGCGCTATGTCGAGGGCCACACTGTGAAAATGAACCGCCCTCCATCCGTGAAATCCTTCCAAACTTTACACGGATGCGCGCGGCGGTATGTCGGGGGCCACATTGTGAAAAGGAACCGCCCTCCATCCGTGAAGGACACGGATGTGCGTGGCGCAAAGGCGAGGGCCACATTGTGAAAAGGAATTGCCCTTCATCCGTGAGCTCCTCTAGACTTCATTCAGGACGAATGTGCGTGGCGCTAAGGCGAGAGCCAGACAGTGCAAAGAACCGCCCTCCATCTGTGAATCTTCCAGACTTTTAAGACGGATGTGTGCGGCGCTAATGTGAGATCTACCGTCCTGCATCCGTGAGACCCATGCAGACGCACTTTGGAGACGAATGTGCTCGGCGCTAAGGCGAGAACAACATTTTGAAAACCACCCGTTCTCCATCCGTGAAACTCTTTAAAAGGTTCAGCTTCAGGGTCATAAGATGTGAGGAAGTCTCAGGTGAAACGCCCGGCCCGCCCTACCGACACGTCTCGGGGTGCGACAGGGCTGAGTTTTCTATAAGGACAACAGATGGATGAGGTGGAGGAGGATGAGGAGGACGAGGAGGAGGCAGGAGGAGGAGGAGGAGGAGGAGGAGCAGGAGGAGGGGAGGAGGAGGATGAGGAGGAGGAGGACCTTTCCCCCTGTGCCGCCCAGGGCCTCGCCCTCGCGAAGCCGCGCCGCACGGCCCCCGCGGCGGAGCCAGGGATCGCCCCCCCCCCCCCCCCCCGCGAGCGCGGCCCTGCCCGCTCGGACCGCCGCTGGAGGCTGGCCGGCCTGGACCCCTTCGAGTCGTGGAGAAATCACCACTGCGAAGAGTTTGTCGGGGGCTTCGTCCAAGACGGGGGTGAGAACCAGGGTGGTGTGGATATCATGGCCTCCCAGGTTTTATGTGTTCACTTACCTTACCCATATTTTCGTGTCATTTGTTTCTAAGCATTATGATTTCTCGTCTTCTTCTTCTTCTTCTTCTTCTCTACTTTTTCCATTAAATCCTCGATTACGACTGTCTGGGGGGGTTAGTGTTTTTTTTCTCCAGTTTTCCTGTCTTCTGTTCCGCCTACTATATTGCGGCGGCCCGCCGATTTGGTCAACTGGACGTTTTTTGCCTCAGGGATACATCCGGGCTGGACTCCAAGCCCCCTCCCCCCCGCGTCAAAGCACCGCGGTCTAGCACGCATGAGGAGTTCGACACAATCTAGGTTGACATTACAGTGACACGTTCTAATTCGTGCTCCTGACGAACCCGCCGCCGCCCTCCTTCCCTATCTTCCCCCACTCCTCGATCCCCTTCCCCCCTTCTCCCTCTCCCTCTTTCTCCTCCCCCTCCTGCTCCCCCTGCTCTTCCTGCTCCCCCTCCTCCTCCTCCTCCTCCTCCTCCTCCTCCTCCTCCTCCTTCTCCTCCTCCTCCTCCTCCTCCCGTCTCCTCTTCGCTCCGATGCCTCCAGTTCCTCCTCCCCCTCCCCCTCCTCCCGTCTCCTCCTCCTCCTCCTCCTCCTCTTCCTCGCGCTTCGCGATCTCACTGGTTCCACTGCCTCGTCTTCCTCCTCGCCCCCTTCTGGAGGCCTCCAGTGCCTCGCCCTCCTCCTCGCCTGCTTCGCCCTCCTCCTCGCCTGCCTCACTTGCTCCACTGCCGCGTCTTCCTCCCTGCGAGCCTTTTGGCTCAGGCACCGGCACCTCGCCCCGGCGCCACCACCCGTGCGGAGCCCGCCGCTCGCGCCCGCCTTCCCGCGAGATGCTGCGCCCCGCTCTGTCGGTGGTCCTCGCCGGGCTGCTGTGCCGGACCGCGCAGGGGAAGCTGGCGACAGGAGCGGCCGTCCGGGAGGACGAGGGCGAGCAGGGGGTTCGTCTCATACATCTCGCTTCTCATTTTTTCACTAATCCCCGCAGGGCTGAGCCGTGGGAAGGTGGCGGGACAGGTTTGCACGGCGACAACATCGTCCCTTACAGCCGTCAGCAGCAGCAGCAGCAGGGTGAGGCGAGGGCTGAGGGAGGACGGAGTATGCATGCAAGGAGGAGGGAGGAAGGATGAAGGAGGAGGGAGGGAAGAGGAGGGATGAGGGAGGAGGGGGGAGAGAGGAGGGAGGTGGTGGTGGACTCAGGCTTCAGCGCAGTCACGCATGTCGATGGCTCCAGGCTCTCGCCGAGCGCCAAGGTCCGCCTTGGCGCTCCTTCTCCGCCAGCGCTTCGGCTGGAACAGAGGAGAGAGCAGTGACACGGGTAGCCTCTATCCTCGAAGAGGACTGCCCAGCCTGCGATAATTGCTGGTTCACTCGCTGCTCACTCCGCCAGCGCTCTTCTGGATGGAGGAGGATCAACTGCCAGCAGGCAGCCTCACCCACAGCGGCGCCTCAAGCCCACTGGAGCGCAGTGCACCACCTCGTGGCTAAGGGACGTCATCGAGTTGGAAACAAGCCAAGGGCAAAGTTTCAAACACGTGGCAGGAGCGGAAAAGGGGGAAGGGGGCCAGTACCCTGCAACCCAGGGGCGTGTGGCCCCGCCAGGGTGGGCTCATCCCTCGAAGAGGACTGCCTGTGGCGCTGCGCCAGCCCTTCGGCCAGCATGGCAGCCAGGCCCTCGGGCATCGTCGTGGAATCCGGCCTGCTTCGGTGGGACACCTCCCTACCGAGCGAGACAGCGAGCAGCCTAAACGATTTGGGGTAGCTTGGCCTCCTTCGGACGGAAACCACCGAGTGAGAAAATAATGGGGGCCCTTATGACCTGGCTCTCAATGTCGACGGCCAGGCGCCCTAGAGGGAGCGAGCTCCTGGACTCCACGGCTGGGATCACCACCTCGGGCCAGAGCTGGTGAAGAAGAAGTGGGGCCTGTCTTTGGGGGCGACCTCCGAGTGGAGACTGACGAATTCTTCACGCTTCGCGTATCCCCACCAGCCCATCTCAAAACAGCAACTCTAGCGAAGCATGCCGACAGTCGTGTTTTTCAGGCGTGTTTCCGCCTGCCCCCGCATATCTCCCCAGTTCCTCCTTCCTCCCGCCTCCTTGTACATCCTCCTTGTGGTGGGAGCGGGAGAAGGACGAGGCGGAGGAGGAGGGAGAGAAAGCGCTCCTCGTGGTTTGAGTCGTTTGGGGTTTCTCGTCCTGGTGTGAGTCGTTCGGGCCCTTCTTCCTGGTGTGAGTCGTTCGGGCTCTTCGTGGTGTGAGTCGTTCGGGCTCTTCGTCCTGGTGTGAGTCGTTCGGGCTTCTCGTGGTGTGAGTTGTTCGGGCCCCTCATCCTGGTGTGAGTCGTTCGGGCCCCTCCTCCTGGTGTGACTCGTTCGGGCTCCTCGTGGTGTGAGTCGTTCGGGGCCCTCGTCGTGGTGTGAGTCGTTCGGGCTCCTCGTGGTGTGAGTCGTTCGGGGCCCTCCTTGTGGTGTGAGTCGTTCGGGTCGTGAGTCGTTCGGGCCCCTCGTCCTGGTGTGAGTCGTTCGGGCTCCTCGTGGGGCCTCTTAAGAGCCTCTTGGAGCCTCTTGGGGGCCTCTTGGGGGCCTCTTGGGGCCTCTTGGGGGCCTCTTGGGGCCTCTTGGGGCCTCTTGGGGCCTCTTGGGGGCCTCTTGGGGCCTCTTGGGGCCTCTTGGGGCCTCTTGGGGGAGGCCGGACCAGGAGGAGGAGGAGGAGGAGGAGGAGGAGAAGGAGGAGGAGGAGGAGGAGGAGGAGGAGGAGGAGGAGGAGGAGGAGAGGAGGAGGAGGAGGAGGAGGCGGAGGGAGGAGGAGGAGGAGGAGGGAGGAGGAGTAGGAGGAGGAGGAGGAGGAGGAGGCGGAGGCGGAGGAGGAGGAGGAGGAGGAGGAGGAGGAGGAGGAGGAGGAGGGAACTGGGAACTGGTGACGAGAAAGCGTCTGCTCACAGACACCACTCTACGGAAGGTGAAAGCCCCAGACGATCAGTCACCCAGTGAGGGACTGCCCAGTCTTGGGGTGCTTGCCACGTTGCAAAGCACTGAGGACTGACCTCCTGCTCTTGGGCAAGTCCTTGGGGTCAGGGCAGGGGGAGCTGAAGGCCTTCCCCACCCTGACAGACCCGTAGGCCCCGCACCGCCGACACCAGACGACCGTACCCGTGGCGGTAACGTCGTGTCCCCCAGGCGCGTGACACCACTCCGCGGAGCCCCAGCCTCGCCCTCGCGGGCAGGCACAGGCCCCACACGCGCAGTGCCTCCTCAGAGGCCGAAGACGCCGAGCCCCCAGGCCCAGCGCCAGCGAAAGCCCCAGCCAAGCCCCCAGCCCCAGCAGGCCCAAGCCTCGCAGCAGCAGGAGCGGGCCCAGCCGAGGCCCCAACCTCTTGGAGGCCTCTTGGGAGGCTCCTGGGGGCCTCTTGGGGCCATCTTGGGGCCTCTTGCGACCTCCTCTGAAGCGCAAAGGAGCGCTGCCCCATGAGAAGGACAAAATGAGCCCAAAACCTTCGTAAAATCAATGATTGTGCTATGAAGGAAGATGAGCGCGGCCCCCTCAGGAGGCCAAAATGGGGCCAAAACCGTAGTAACATCAATGTTATTTGCTTCAAAGAAGAGGAGAATGGCCAAACTCCCCCCCCCCTCGGGGCCACAATCCTCGTGAGGGTCGCCTTTTTTTGGCCCTCCCAGGCGTCGAAAAAGACCCCCCCGGCGACGCTCGGGAATCCCTCTCCAGGTCCAGGGGGAGGGGGTAGGGGGAGGGGTAAACCCCTCCCCGAAGGGGAAGAAGGGGGGTTGAGGACAGAGAGAGCTCGCTAAACCACTCACGCCCAAAGGGCTGGTGGGATTTACGTTTTGCGGACGATCTGATGCTTATTGCCACAACTCTTCGCCAGCTCAAAATCATGATGTGTGGTTTGCGCGCCGCGTCTGCGCGGCGTGGCTTGGACATCCACCCGGAAAAGGCAACGATTTTGAGCAACACGACGCGGGGCAGCGGTCGCCCCAAATCCACATCAGGTCAAGTTGGGGCATGGTTATAGACGTTGTACCTTTCGAAGATGCTGTGAAATATTTGGGAAGGCAGGTTCGTTTCGACTGGCCGCACAACGCAGATATCGACCATGTAATCCAGATGGTTTGGAAGCGCTGTATGAGCCAAAGGGCAGACCTCACAGTCAAGCGATTCTTTTGAATTCGCGACTCCGCCACTTCGACAGTACGGTGTCTGCAACGCTGCTGTATGGACATGTGGCGTGGGTACTGACGAATTGGAAAACAAGCTATGACGTACACAACGCAAAATGATTAGACTGATCGTCGGCAGCGGGAGGCTCATGCAAAGACATGTTCCGCATCGAGATCAGAAAGAGCGTGTTCTGCCGCTGCTGGCAGAAAAGGGGGGGGGGTCACTGGGCGTTTCCAAGTCTTTCCCCCCCCGTCTCGAAAACCAGGGGGGGTCACTACCAGTTCGACCCCCCCCCTCTCGCCAATTGCGACGGTGGTGGGGACTGGGGACAGTGGGACAGGGGTGGGGACAGTGGGGACAGTGGGTAGAGTGGGACCGTGGTGGGGACACAGGTGGGGACAGTGCGGACAGTGCGGCAGTGGTGGGGTGGGGCGCTGGTCGGGACAGTGGGGACAATGGTGGGAAGAGTGGGGACACTGGGACAGTGGTGGGGACAGTGGGGACAGTGGGACAGTGGTGGGGACGGTGGTGGTGGGGACAATGGTGAGGGGACAGTGGGACGGTGGTGGGAACAGTGGGGACTGGGACTGTGGTGGGGACGGTGGTTTTGCGGACAGTGGTGAGGGCGGTGGGGTGAGGACGGTGGTGGGACAACGGGACAGTGGTACAGTGGGGAGAATGGTGGGGACATTGGGGACAGTGGGGCGGTGGTGGGGACAGTGGGGACAGTGGGACAGCACAGTGGGACAGCGGTGGGGACAGTGGGACACTGGGGTCAGTGGGACAGGCGTGGGGAGTGGATGCAGTGGGGAGAATGGGACCGTGGTGGCGACAGAGGTAGGGACAGTGGGGACAGTGCGACAGTGGTGGGGGCACTGGTGGGGACAGTAGGACAATGGTGGGAAGAGTGACAGTGGGGACAGTGTGACAGTGGTGGGGACGGTGGTGGTGGGGACACTGGCGAGTGGACAGTGGGGCAGTGGTGGGGACAATGGGGACAGTGGGACGGTGGTGGGGACGGTGGTTTTGGCGGACAGTGGTGAGACAATGGGACAGTGGTACAGTTGGGACAGTGGTGGGGACAGTGGGTGCAGTGGGGAGTGGTGGGAACTGTGGGACAGCTCAGTGGCACAGTGGTGGGGACATTGGAGACAGTGGGACAGTTGTGGGGATAGTGGGGACAGTGGTGGGAACAGTGGGAACAGTGGGACAGTTGTGGAGACGGTGGTGGTGGGGACAATGGTGGTGGCGGTGGTGAGGACGGTGGTGGGGACCCGGAAGTCGTTTGCTGGCTGCGAATGTGGGGGGGGATTGAACCGGTAGTGGCCCTTCTTCTGTTTTCTGGAGGGGGGTGTTCGAAGCGGTAGTGCCCCCCCCGGTTTTCCAGAGGGAGGGGGGGGGTTTGCCGGGGAGAGGGAAGAGGGGGCGGGGGAAGGGGTTCGAGCAGGGGTGGGTGGGATTTTTGCAGGGGGGCGGGGGGGAGACCCCCAGGTTCCGGAGGAAGACGGGGGGGAATTATCCACAGTAAAACGGCGGTGGGTTGCGTTTTTTCCGAGATCATGATCCCCCATCCAGCGGCGATTCGCCCTCTTTTTCTTATAATCATCGTCTACGGCTTCGTCTTTTGCGACGCTCCGGAACACAGCGCCGAAAGATGCGGAGGAGGCGCTGGAACCTTGGATTGATTGGAACAAACGCGTGACACGGGAAGCAGAAAACAGTACGAACATTTCATTTGCATTATTGGGTCGGTTCACGCAAAGACGCTGCCAACTCATGGGTTCGCCGCATGCTAGGGGCGGAAAACTCATGGACACGACGGGTGTACATGTGGGACCCAAAGCACTTGGTCAGACGCCCGGTTTGCCCCCGCAAGCGCTGGGCAAACACGCGCAACTGAGGGGCTGAGGCCCCGCGCGCCTCCCTCCACGGGACGGCGTCCGGGCCGACGGTGCGCGCTTCGCTTCGCTTCGCCGTCGGCATCGTCGAAGTAGGGGCGGCTGTTCCGGAGCGCAACGATCATGTCGATGCGAGCGGCAGTCTGGGCAAGCTGCCGCAAGGCGACACGAACGGCCGTCTTGGAGGATGAGGACGAGCACGTGGAGGCCAGGGAGGAGGGAGGACGGAAGGCGTAAGGAAGAAGGAGGGAGGGAGGAGGAAGGAGGAAGGAGGAAGGAGAAAGGAGGAGGGAGGATGGAGGAGGGAGGGAGGGAGGGAGGGAGGGAGGGAGGGAGGGAGGGAGGGAGGGAGGAGGAGGGAGGAGGAGGAGGAGGAGGAGAGGAGGAGGAGGAGGAGGAGGAGGAGGAGGAGGAGGAGGAGGAGGAGGAGACGGAGGAGGAGGAGGAGGAGGAGGAGGAGGAGAAGGAGCAGGGTAATGATGGGGTAAGAGGAAGGGGAGGGGGGAACAGAGGAGGACGAGGAGGAGGATGAGGATGAGGACCAGGAGGAGACTGGGAGAGGAAGAGGATGTTGTGGATGGTGATGATGATGCTGATGTGGCTGACGCTGATTATGATGATGGTTATGGGATGATGATCCTGATGATGTTGATGATGATGGTGATTCTGCTGATGATGATGACCATGATGATGCTGCTGATGCTGATGGTACTGATCATGATGATTCGGATGCTGATGATGATGGTGATGCTGCTGTTGACGACGATGATGCTGATGATGCTGATGATTATGACGTTGATGCTGATGATCATGCTGATGGTGGTGGTGGTGATGCTGATGATGGTGATGCTGGTTCTGGTGCTGAGGCTGATTACTATGCTGCTGATGATGCCGATGATGCTGCTGATGATGATTTTGACGATGATGATGAAGATGAAGATGAAGATGAAGATGAAGATGATGATGAAGATGAATATGAAGATGAAGATGAATATGATGATGATGATGATGATGATGATGATGATGATGATGATGATGATGATGATGATGCTGATGCTGATGATGATGATGATGATGATGATGATGATGATGGTGATGATGCTGCTGCTGATGATGATGATGCTGATGATGATGGTGATGATGATGATGATGATGATGATTCTGATGATGACGATGATGATGAGGATGAGGATGATGATGCTGCTGCTGCTGGTGATGATGTTGATGATAATGCTGATGATTGTGATGATGATACTGCTGCTGATGAAGCTGATGATGATGATGATGATGATGATGATGATGATGATGATGATGATGATGATGATGATGATGATGATGATGATGATGATGACGATGATCATACTGATGATGATGCTGTGTGTGTGATGCTGATTATGCTGCTGATGATGCTGCTGATGTTGTTTGTGGTGATTATTCTCCAACTAGTCTTGCCCTAAATGAGTCCTACCTCAAACCCTACTAATTCGTCCGTTGCCCCCCCCACGAATTCCTATGCCCCCACCCGTAATTCCTATGGCTATGGCTATACCTATGCCTACGCCTCTCCCCTAACTCCTACGCCTACGCCTGTGCCTATGCCTATGCCTATGTCTATGCATAGCCTCTGAGCGCTCTTATGCCTATGCCTATGCCTGTGCCTATGCCTATGCACCACCTCTGAGCGCTCCTCCGCCTATGCCCATGTTTGCTTGCTTGCGCGCTTGCTTGCTTGCTTGCGCAATTGCTTGCTTGCTTGCTTGCTTGCTTGCTTGCGCGCTTGCTTGCTTGCGGAGTTGCGATTTGAGTCGTCTAATCTAATTGGAGTCAGCGCTGGCTGATATTCAGATGCTGATGCTGGTTACGATGCTGATGCTGATGAGGCTGATGACGATGCTGATCATGCTGATGATGTTGATGATGATGATGCTTATGATGATGCTGCTGATGCCGCTGACGATGCTGATTATGATGCTGATACTGATATTGATTTCTGTGATGCTGATGCCGATGATGCGGATGACAAATTATGCTGATGCTGGTGTTGCTGATGATGATGATCTTGGGATGATGATGATGAAAAGGATGATGATGACGATCGGATGCTGCTGATGATGATGATGGACGGTTATGATAATGATACTGATGATGCTGCTGCTGATGATGATGATGATGATGCCGACGATGATGATTATGATGATGATGATGATGATGATGATGATGATGAGGATGATGATGATGATGATGTTGACGATGCTGATGATGATGCTGACGATGATGCTGCTGATGATGATACTGATGACTGTGTTGTTGTTGATGTTGCTGCTGCTGCTGACGACGACGATGATGCTTCTGCTGATGATGCCGACGACGAGGGAGGAGGAGGAGGAGGAGGAGGAGGAGGAGGAGGGCCAGGGCGGAGGCGGCGACGACGACCATGATAATGATGTTGTAGTTTTTGTTGAGCTCTGACTTAAAACAATCGTTGCTCGGTTTTCACTGTCTGGGGCCCATCGGTGCTTTTCAAGCGTAATCCTCCCTCAATGGTACCTCTTCCTCAGGAGGAGCTCGAATAGGTGGAATGCGACGGAAGAGGAGAGTGTGGAGGACGAGGATGATGCTGATGCTGATGCTTCTGATGATGCTGACGACATGGATGAGGATGAGGATGATGAGGATAATGACGATGATGATGATGATCATGATGATCATGATGACGATGATCTGATGATGATGATGGTGATGATGACGACGATGGTACTGATTATGATGATGATGATGATTCTGCTGCTGCTGCTGCTGCTGATGATGATGATGATGATGATGACGGTGATGGTGATAGTGATGGTGATGGTGATCGTGATGACGCTGATGCTGATGATGATGACCATGATACTGATGCTGCTGATGATGGTGATGATGATGATGATGAGGAGGAGGAGGAGGAGGAGGAATGCGAGGGAGAGGGGAACGGGGGAATGTTTGTGCAGTTATATTTTCTATGTGCTTTCATAGGGCCCAGGTGGTTCATCCTTTTCCTTCTCTTTTTCATCTTCCTCTTTTCCTTATTCCTCCAACCCTTCTCTTTCTTCTTTCTCGCCCCCTCATTCTTGTCCTGGCTTTCCTCCTTCTCTGTCATTTTTCTCAATTTGCTTTTTGTTTTCGTCCTCCGTTTTGCGACCCTCACACTCTGTTGTTATCCTCTTTCTTCTTCTTATTCTCCTTCTTCTTGTTTTTCTTCCCTCCTGTCTCGTCTCCGCCAGTGCTGAATCACAGCGCCGACAAGAAATGTACTCTGCAACCGTTATCGCGAGTGTTGAACGAAGTGATCGTTGCTTTAACTCTGACCTGGCAGGTGGGATGGAGCGCTCGACGCACGTTGGTGGCAACACAATCTGATCAGGAGTCCTCCATAGGTCTCCAGATGCCCCCAGCAGACGTCCCAGAGGTTTTGGACACCTCTGGACCTTGGAGGCCCAGGAAAACGTACCGGGGCGCACAAAACTCCGACCCTCATCATCGATCCTTTCCCTCCAGGCCGCCCAGATGGGGCGATGTGGCTCCGACCTTCCCCATCGCGACGTCGCCGATACATCGGCCATGCGGCGCAACCCTCAGACCCCATCCGCTCTGGCCCTACTTGGGCGGTCCCCACTCCTGACGGCAGGAACGGTCCGCGTCGGTGGCCAGCAGGAGGCCGACCGGTGGAGATACCTCAGCAAGTTCGGCTACACCATCGGCGCCGGGATCTACGAGGTGCGCGTGCGGAGCCCGCCGGACGCACCTGGTGCCAGCGAGGCCCCGAGGGTGGACCTGCAGCTCTTCCTCGACGAGGAGTGGAGCGAGGCGGGTGACGCAGGGCGGGGATCGAGGCTCGAGGAGGATCTAGGCTTAAGTCGGGCCTGTCCCTCTACAGGGGGAGTATCCAAACATAGTAAAAAATAGTCAGGGGACAATTTTTTCACTATCCTTGGGTATGTTTTGAATATTTTTGGAGTATCTTTAACGTTTCGTCCAGAATCCCCCTGTAGGGGGACACGCCCGATCTAAATCTAGGCTTTTGGATGCTTCTGGCTCCCCTTGGGGCGTCCAGAGGCCTCCGAAGGACCTCCAGAGACTTTCACAGACCCTCGGGGGCGCGTGGAGAGCCCAGAGTTAAGCCGGGCGTGTCCCTCTACAGGAGGAATATTCAAAAATAGTTTCAACATTGCCTGGGGACGATTTTCGGACCATCTTTGATAATTTTGGAATATTTTTAAATCCGCCTGTAGGGGGACACGCCCGACCTCAGCCCAGAGGCCTTCGGGCCGTGGTCTGCCAACCATCCACCTCACTGATCTAGGCCGTGCCGATCCAGAGTCCAGGATCGGTGTGTATGTCTCCCTGGTCAGGGCTCAGGTCGGCGGCGAGAGAGGGGGGAAAGTGAGAAGGAAAAGACCTTCTCAGAAGGTTCGGAAGTTCGCCGGCTTTTTGAGGAGTTTTCTTAATCACAGAAACTTCTTAGAAGGCGCGAGGGCTTCTGAGAAGTCCCGCCGCCTTCTGAGAAGGCCTTCCCCTTCTCATTTTCCCTCCTCGCTCGCCGCCGATCAGGGTGGGCCTGGCGAACATCGGTGGCGCGGATGGTCGGTGTCCCCCGACGGATGCCGAGGGCCAGCTCTACGCGCAAGCTGCACGCGCAAGGTCGCGCGAGAGCGGCCTCTTTGCCGCTAGGGGTGCCGCGCAAGCGGCTCGTGGGCCAGCGCGTCAGGCCGCTCAGTCCTCGCGAGGTGGTCCTCTCTCCACCACCGAGGCGGAGGCGCTGCCTCCCTGCGAGAGGGCGGCCAAGAGCCGCAGCGCGCAGCGCCCGCGGCCCGGCGCAAAGCCTGGCGAGTGGGGCGCGTGGACCAAGGGCCAGGTCGTGCAGCAGGTGTCGGGGGCGGCTCTCAAGAGGGGGTGGGAACTGAGGAGCGTGTGGATGTCATTGCCGGGGCCGCGCGATCTCCCAAATTTCAGGGCCCCCTTCTTTCAGCACCGTCCCTGGCCCCCGCCCTCGTCCGCGTACGTGCCTCGGCCCATGATGCGCTGACCCCCCTCTTCGCCTTCTTTTTCGGCGCACCCGAAGGTGCGCTCGCACATATGGTACTTCGCTCTGTCGGGCTGCGCGGAGGAGCGAGTCCAGGACCTCGAGTTCGAGATCCGAATGCGCCAGGCTGATCGCTCCGAGCTGGGAGCCGAGATGCGGTTCATGCCCATCTTGGCGGCGCCCACAAGGGGGTGCCGCGAGGGGGTCGGGCTGCTAGGAGGGTGGCGAGGCGTCTAACAAGGCGGGCGGCCTCTTAGAAGCCCGCCCAGCATCCCGGAAGGCTTCTTAGACGCCTCTGGGCGCTTTGACAAGGCCCCCGCCGCCTTCTAGAATTAAGTCGGGCCTGTCCCTCTACAGGGGGGATATTGAAAAATAGCCAAAACATAGTAGGGGAACTTTTTTTTGGGGGGGGAACCATTTTTTATGTTTTTACCTAACAGCGTTTGCTGATAGGTTGCTAGTAGGGTCAAAAGAGAGCATCATGACTCCTCAGGGGGGTCTGGGCGGGTGCCGGGGAGGAGAACCGGGAATCGTTTTTCGCCAACAGTCACACACTTCGTGCTCTTCGACCTCCCAGAACTCCATTCCCGGGCCACATTCTGGAGAACCGGGAACAGAGCCGGGCTCGTTTTTCGTCAACAGTCACACACTTCGTGCTCTTCGACCTCCCAGAACTCCATTCCCGGGCTACATTTTGAGTGCCCGGAGCCAACTGTAGGCCACTTCGTGCTCTTCGAGTTCCCAGAACTCCATTCCCGGGCCACATTTTGGATGCCCGGAGCCAACTGTAGGCCACTTCGTGCTCTTCGACTTCCCAGAACTCCATTCCCGGGCCACATTTTGGATGCCCGGAGCCAACTGTAGGCCACTTCGTGCTCTTCGACTTCCCAGAACTCCATTCCCGGGCCACATTTTGGATGCCCGGAGCCAACTGTAGGCCACTTCGTGCTCTTCAAGTTCCCAGAACTCCATTCCCGGGCCACATTTTGAATGCCCGGAGCCAACTGTAGGCCACTTCGTGTTCTTCTAGTTCCCAGAACTCCGTTCCTGGGCTACATTTTGAATGCTGAGGCAGGCTGATGCTGCGGCCGAGGCAGGCTGAGGCTGAGGCAGGCTGAGGCTGAGGCCGAGGCTGAAGGCAGACTGAGGCTGAGGCTGAAGCAGACTGAGGCTGAGGCTGAGGCAGGCTGAGGCTGAGGCTGAGGCAGGCTGATGCTGAGGCAGGCTGAGGCTGAGGCTGAGGCTGATGCAGGCTGAGGCTGAGGCAGGCTGAGGCTGAGGCCGAGGCTGAAGGCAGACTGAGGCTGAGGCTGAAGCAGGCTGAGGCTGAGGCTGAGGCAGGCTGAGGCTGAGGCAGGCTGAGGCTGAGGCTGAGGCAGGCTGAGGCTGAGGCTGTGACTGCGACTGCCGTTGCCGCTGCGACTGTCATCGCGAATGCGACTACGACTGCGAGAACAGCAGAATTCTACAACTGGATTTTCATCTGAATCTTAAGGGGAATGCTTTCAGATATGCTTCTACACATCGCTGTTAGGTTGCTTTGCCGGGATAATTTTATTTTCTCCATTTTTCGTCCAAACTGCGCCTGTAGGGGGACATGCCCGACCGAATCCTAGAACTCCCACCCCCCCTCGCGCCACCCCCTGGTGAGCGCCGTATGCCGTCGTGAGCATGCTCCTCCTTGGCGCAGTCACGGTTTTCTCGGCGGGTCTCGGCAGGAGCTGCGCGGCGGCGAGGGCCGCCGCCGGCGGCGTGCACCCGGTCATCCGGGCGCTCGTGGCCGCAGTCGCGTTGCAGTGGGCGGCGCTGCTATGCGAGGTCCTGCACCTCTGCTCCTACCAGGGCAACGGCTTCGGCGCGCCCGTTGCCGACGCCCTCTCGGGGGTGCTCGATATGCTCAGCCAGGTGGTCATCGCAACGCTGCTCGTCGCCATCGCGCACGGTTACTGCCTCACGTGCGCGCGGGCGCGCGAGCTGCCGGGCCTCTTGCCCATGTCCGCCGTGGTGGCGGCGGCGCACGTGGCGCTCGTGCTCCTCGACAAGCTCTGGGGGGAGGCCTCGCACGAACACCACGAGACGGGGGGCGCGCTCGGCGTCGCGATGGTCGCGATGAGGCTGGCGCTCTTCGCGCGGTTCTCTGCCGGGATCCGCGCGCTCGTGGGACGCGTGAGCCCGCAGCTGCAGCGCTTCGCTCGCCTGTTCGGGGTCGCCGGGGCGGCGTACCTCCTGAGCCACCCGGTGCTCTTCCTGTTGGCGCAGGCGGTGGCGCCCTACCTGAGACACCCGCTGCTGCAGGTCGGGCTCCAGGGCGCGCAGGCGTCGGGCGTCGACAGAAGTCCCTCCCCTGGGCCCCAGGAGCCCCCCCCCAGCCTTCGTCCACTCAGGGGCGCCCGAGGACCCCGCTGGGCCTCGTGGGGGTGCGCTCGGAGGCTGCGGGGCCTCTCTCGAGAGCTTCGCGGGGCCTCCTCGGGCCATGGGTGGTCTCCTGCTGCACTGGGGCGGCACCGCCTCCGCTCAGCATCGCGAGGGGCACTTCTGGCATATAATGGGCTTGTTTTCCACCACCACCACTACCATAAGTTGGGGGGGGAAGGAGGTGGAGGGTGAGGAGGAGGAGGAGGAGGAAGAAGAAGAGGGGGAGGAGGACCCCTTCCCCCCTCCAACTCATGGTGGTGGTGGTGGTGGCAAACAGGCCCATCATGGCAGCGCCCGAGAGGCGGTCTGCTCCCTCGGCTTGGCCGCCCTGCTGCTGTCCGGCTCCGGCTGCTTCTACCGCGCGTCGACGCTGAGCGGCCCGGCGCTCCCGGCGCCGGGCGCCGCCGCGGGCGCGTGCTCCCAGCGCGCGCCCGCTGGGGCGAGCGGCCTGGTCCCGCTGCGGCGGAGGGGCGGCGCCTGAGGGCCGCCTCGCGCCGCCCTGCACGGCCTGTGTGGGAGGCTTCTGGCAGGCACGAGCGCCTCGGCAGTCCTTCGGGAGCGGGCGGCTGCCGGATGTTCGCGTCCCTGCCGGCCCTGGCCAGGCTCATCCTGGGCGCTGCTCTGGCGTATTGCATGCTCGTGCCGCCCTGACGCGGCAGCGACGCCGGCGCTGGCCCATCGAGGCCGTAGACCGTAGACCGTCGAGGCCCTCGGGCCCATCGAGGCCGTAGATCGTAGACACGCTGAACGGCGATGTAGGTCACTGCGATGTAGGTTTCGGTACTGTAGGTCGGGGAGGTTCGTGGCCAACCCTGTTGTAGGAAAGCGATGTTCGTGTTTTCCTGCAATATGTTCTGCGCGAGTTCGGCGTCGCAAGAACCATATTCCCAACACCGCCGTTAGCCAACGTCGCCGTTAGCGTGGCCTTGGAGAAGGTAGCAACCCGCGCGAAATCCCCACGAACGATGTCATCGGCAGCCTCATGGGGCCTCTTGCGGTCGAGGTCATTCAAGGTCGAAAGGTGCACGAGGTGCTGAACGCCAGAGCCGACGCTGTCATTGCATGAACTGGCTGTATACGCCGAGCCCATGCCAGGAAGGCCTGTGCACTGGCCCAGGGCCCAGGATGGGCCTGGGCCGGCTCGTGGAGGCGTACATCTAGATGCTTGCTTCCAGGACGATTCCTCGAGCTTAGTTGCACGCCGTCCTCTTCCAGAGCTTGGGGAGTGTGCACGCCGCGTTCACACTACCAGGAGAGTCCTCCCTCTGGAAGGATTCCCTCCTCTCGCTGCGCGCCGCCATGTGCCTGGACTTCAAGAACTAGACTTGAAGAAGACTCGAGCCCCGGCAGCAAGACCGGATGGCTGGTCGCGTGAAGTCGGCGGCGCGCAGAGGGGGGTGGCGCGAGGGTGGCGTCCTTCCAAGAAGGCGGGGGGCTTCTCATAGTTAAGGCAGGGAGTTTCTTGAAAGGCCCTGGAGGCTTTGACGACGCCTTCTTAGCAGCTGGGAAGCCCCCCAAGAATCTCCCTCCGTCCTTAGAACTTACCACCCCGCTCCTTAGAAGGCAACCCCTCACGCCACTCCCTCCCCTGCGCACGCCGCCCATGTGCCCCCCTTGCCATCCCTTCTCCCTCCTGATCGCTGAAGTTCGTGGGGGTGCGAAGGAGGCCTGTGCTCGGGCTGGCTCTCTGCATGTCGTGCACGATCGTGCCTTTTGGCACGCCGTGCACTCCTTGAACTCCCCGCCCGGCTCGGGAGAGGGAGAGCGTCCTCCATGGGGCCTCACGCTTGTTGTTTCAACCACGTGCGTGTGTTCGTGTGTGCGTGTGTGTGTGTGTGTGTGTGTGTGTGTGTGTGCGTGTGTGTGTGTGTGTGTGTGTGTGTGCGTGTGTGCGTGCGTGTGTATGCGTGTGTGTGTGTGTGAGTGTTTGTGTGTGTGTGTGTTTGGGTGTCTGTGTTTGTGTGTGTGTTTGTGTGTTTGTGTGTTTGTGTCTGTGTCTGTGTCTGTGTGTGTGTTTATGTGTGTGTGTGTGTGTTTGTGTTTGTGTTTGTGTTTGTGTGTGTGTGTGTGTGTGTGTCTGTGTGTCAGTGTTTCGTCCGCCCTCGCCGTGCCTTCGCTGCGGCACGGTGGTCTCGGTGGCTTGCCGGGGCGCCCGCCTCTGGCGGCTCTGGGGCGTTCCGCTGCCCTGCGCTGACCTCCCTTGCTTGCATCTTGTCCCAGCTGCTGGCCTCATTGCGCACCCTCTTGCTGCCCTCGGGCGTCGCTCTGCGCCCACTGCCCCCCCGCTGCCCATGCCCGGGGGTGCGCATGGCATTGTCGATCCGATGGGATCCCCGCCCTTCTCTGAGGGGCCAGCCGCGCGCGCGCTTCGTTCGCTTGGGGCCTCTCTCCGCCTCGACGCTCCCGGGGCCGCGACCACCGACTGTGTGTGCGTTTTCGTTGCAATGTGCATGGTGCGTTTCCCACTTGTGCTCGCCCAGCGCCGCCTGAAGTCATCTCTTCCTGCACGCGGCTCGCCCTGCGTTGTCCACTCATCTGCAGCGTCAGGTCGAATGGACGCCAAGCATGGTCCTCCGGAGCTTTCGCTGCAGTGACGTCACTTGGCCGCTCGATGAAGAAGTACAGTCAACCATGACAGTAAGGATGGGGCAACTTTCCAACGCTACCCTTGCATCCTTGCCCCTTCGGTATTCGGCATCCTTCGGCATTCTGCTGCGCTCCGCACGGAAAACGTTAACATGGCGTTCCGAGGCCCTTGCATCCTTACCGCGCATCCTTGCTATCCTGGTCGAGTGTGTGTGTGTGTGTGTGTGTCTGTGTGTCTGTGTGTGTGCCTTGATGCTTGAGGGCCCGGCCGCAGCGTGCACTGCCTTACGTTTGCTCCGCCTCGTCGCCGCGCGCGAGGCCGCTATCGCGAAAGAGTGTGTGTGTGTTTGGTTGTGGGTGTTTGGTTGTGTGTGTGTTGTGTGTGTGTGTGTGTGTGTGTGTGTGTGTGTGTGTGTGTGTGTCTGGTTGTTTGTTTGTTTGTTTGTTTGTTTGTTTGTTTGTTTGTTTGTTTGTGTGTGTGTGTATGTGAATCTCGATGTTTCCGTGAGTTCCGCCGTCGGAATATGACAGATCGACCGCCTCGGAGTCGTGCCCTGGGGCCCGAAAGACCTTTCGAGGCGGATGTCTACCCGCCCCCGAGGGCGGGAAAGCAGCCACATCATCCGTTCCTCAGCGACCCAGGGCAGGACTCCATCCAGCAGTTGTGGATGTGGAAGGTTCACGGCGGTGTATGTCTAGGCCTCCTAGATGGGGTCGGAGTAGACGGGGTCGGAGGATGGCGCCGCATCGCCCGATCTTATCCACGCCGACGTCGCTGATACATCGCCGATGCGTCGCCCATGCATCGGCGATGCGGCACGATCCTCCGACCCCATTTGCTCGGACCCCATCTTGGAGGCCTCTCGTTCATGGCGGGGCATGAGTGGAGGCTTCGTGGTGAGCTCCCTCTCTCTCTCTCTCCCGACCGACGCCACACAAGCTTGATGACGCGGCGACCTTGCTGCCCACTTCCGGCATATGTCTTGCAGTGGGTCCGTGATGCTCCAGTAGCCAGCAGGATCGTGGGCTCCACCCTTGAAGGCTGCCGAACAAGAGAAAGTTCCCTTCCCTTCCTCCTCCTCTTCTCAGGACAGAGAGTGTCCTGCCCCGCGCAGGCGTGGGGAGGGAGACCAGGAGGGTCCATCCCACCTGTGCATCTACAAGGTTGGCAGACTTCTCTCGAAGGCGGACCGCGGCGTAAGTGTGTCTGTACGTGGTCAAGGGGTCTCGGCGGGGGGTGCGTGCTCTGTCCTCACCTAAATGATCCTCAGGACGTGAGTTATCTCCAGTGTGTGTTTACTCACTTCGGCTCCACCGATAGCGCGCAGCCTGTGTTGGCCCTGATTGCATCGCCTGCGTCGTATTGAAGGGCTTCGGTGGAGAAACACACGTTGGTGTTAACACACTTTCAGAGAATTATCGATCATTTGCATCGTGACCTCCGGCCCTCCCCCCCCTCGTCATTCTCCGCCTGTCTGAGACACAAGTGGGCGTCGGGTCTGGCAGCGTGCAGTTCGTCGTCGTTCGTGCGGCCTATTGCCATGTGACTGTTCCAGGTCTCGCGAGGAGAGTTGCCATCTGACCATCTATGCCCTTGCTTTGAGATTCGGTTTCCAAAAATGCTCAGCAGTCGTCCGAGCGTAGCTGGAACCCTTCATCCGAGGTGGTCCTGCTGCGGCTTTCTCTTTTGGGAACCCTTAATCCGAGGTGTAGCTGGAACCCTTTATCCGAGCGTAGCTGGAACCCTTCATCCGAGGTGGTCCAGCGTAGCTGGAACCCTTCATCCGTGTAGCTTTCGCAGTGGCGGTGCCTGCTGCGGCTCTCTCTTTTGGTTGCGAACCCTGTGCGCGCCATTCAGCGTGGCCGTTGAAGTGCTCTTACCTCTGCCAGAGCATACGTGGAAGAGGCTGTCGCCGACCTGTTTGACGTTTCCATGAGTGCTGAAGCGAAACATTTGTTGGAATAGCTTCCGGGACCCCGTCGGAGCGATCCGGGGAAGATGCCACTCGGGGCTCCGTGTGGCGGGCCTTGGGGCACCGCCCCCGTGGGGGCGTGAGGTAGGCGCGAAAAAGGGGGGGGGGGGGGGGCCGCGGCGTAAGCGCCTCTGCACAGTCGTCTAGTAGACATGCGAGATCTTGACCCATGGCGGTGGGGGATGCGCGACCGCAGCGACATCGCAGTTGTGATTGGAGTTGTTGGCGAATTTCGGGGGTCGCGCGAAATCGCCGATGCTACGTCCCTGCGGCTCTTTTGCGTGCCCACCCTAGCTTCTGCCACCCGATCAGAAGAGAGAATGGCCGCGGCGGCCACCCATGGGAGGCCCTTTGACTTCAAGGGTAGCTCTTTGGGAGCTGTTATATAGAATCGGGAGTATAGCTCGCGCGCCGTTGCCATTTTGGCTCAAGGCACGCGCGCCCTATTTGCCCGGACACTTACCTTAGTGTTCGCTATGTGCTGGAAAGACCGAGACATCGATCTTATCCTATCCTACCCATCCACTCCCCATATCGTATTCCTTCGACATGGAATTGGATGCAATGTGAGCTCATCCGCCTCCCATGGAGACGGATGCTATTTGACCTACCAGGCTCACTTTCGACTTGGTAGCGGAGCTGGCCGCACTCTCGTGTGGTCAGCTCTTGCTCTTCTCATCCTCATACTCTTCGGCACGATCCTCGTGACCACCTACCACCCTGCGCTACCACTCCCAGTACGTTTACGAGGATCTATCCAAGAGCAAGAAGCAACACGAGAGGTACGACGTCTAGACAACAACATCGGTACCATATATGCTTCATCATTGCGCTACTACCAACCGCTCGGCAACGAGCCAAAAGCGCAGTACTTGAAGCATGGGCGGAGAGATCCGCCAGATAGAGCGCCTCGAAGACTCGACAAGGCGCTACCCCAGCGCGGCAACGCGCCTAATAACCACCCCTATCTACACAGCCTTGGGCTGGTTATCTTCGCTATCATATGGTTCGCGCTGGGGGCAGCAATCGGACACATGCGTCGTGGAGACAACAGCACCGATGGGCAAACACATGGCCCATACTGGGACCCTCAAGGCAACGTACCTTTCCGTGAGTACGTTTATGAGGTCAACGCGTGGCTCAACGTCACAAGCGGACGTATGACGCCACAGGCCCAAGCGGCCGCCATACAACGCGGCCTGTGTGGCCTAGCGAGGACACTCGCCATGAGGGTACCACCTGACATTATAAACTATGGTGCTGACATCGATGGGGTCCACACCGACCCAGTGACCTACATCATGTTCCTCCTAAGCATGCAGTTCGAGCGCCTGGAAGATGAGCGCCAGCTCACTTCCGGCACACAGCTCATCGACTTCCATGTGCCTCACGGAGAACGAATCGATGTCACTCTAACCCGATTCGAAATGGCCCGACTTGAGGCACAGTCGGTGGGATTTGACCTTCCCAACTTCCAACTACTAACCACGATCCTGTTCCGCGCCTTAGGCGTCGGCAACCAGCGAGCAATGCAACTCTTACAGCCACTCAATCATCAAATGCCCCGAACACAACAACAGTATGATGAGTTGCTGGAGAGGATGCGTTCGATAGGTCACCTATCAGAACGGTCTCCTGGTAACATAGGATCTGTGTTTGGAAGGGGAAGAGGATCTGGTAGTGGGAATTTCTACACTACCTTAACTACTGAAGCCCAGCCTGGAAACGGGCCCTCAAGCATATGGGCCGATGATCCTGGATAATCCACTGCTCTACTAGCAGGAGATCGATCACAACCAAGCTGGGCAACCAGCCCTCCTTCTAGAGAACCCCAACCACACCGTTCTCTATGGGGTGAATCAAACCCCCTAACCGACGGTGTATCCACCTACTTGGGAGACGATGATTTCGACTCCGGTGCCGACACAGATACTATATCATCAGACGGTGTTGAAGCTTTAGATTGGTCAGATATCATGAATATGGAAAATGACAATCAGCGTGCTGAGCACTTGTTTTGGTTACTACAACAGGCTAAACGGAGGTGGGGGAGGTTCACGCGAAAACCAGCGCGTCGTGTTAGGAGGAGGATACGGAGGAGCTTCAAGGGAAAAAGGTAAAGGCAAACGGGGTCGTCGGAGGTTGAGCGGACCAGGCGTCACGGCGTTCCTCCAGAGGCTCTCATATGAACAATATTATGAGATATTCTTCGGGGGAAAGGGCCGTGGCAAAGCCCGTGGAGAGACCTCAGGAAAAGGCAAGGGTAGGCGGGGAAACCCGCGAGGTAGAGACGGCCAGGTTCTACTAAAGTGCCATGAGTGTGATAGTGCCGACCATCTTGTGAGAGATTGTCCAGCGAAGGGAAATGGAAAGGGCAGATCGACCGAAGTCCATTTTGGCTCAAGTGAACCATTCATCGAATATCTGAGCCTCCAGGATTTTGAGGCCATGGAACAGATGTTTTACACTTGTGTCAGTTTCATGGACAACGTCGACGAGCTCGAGGCGTATGGTCATGGATTCTACGCGTGCTACCTCGAGTACGTCCGCAGGTTCGTTGTTGGCAACAACGAGCTCACTCCCGTGGAACACGGAACGCTGGGAAACCAGCCTTTATCTTTCTTCGACTGGATGTTCGGGAACCCAGGCAACACCATGGCCTACGAGAGCAGTGACGAGGACGTCACTGTAGAGGCCTCGCCTTCAGAGGTTGACCGCAACCTCCAACCTCCACCCGAACTCCCGCCTGGAAACAGGCCTATCTATCTTCGAAATAATGATGAACTCATAGAAATGGAGTCTCAAGCGTTCGTTCAAGCTTTCGTTGCAGGCGCACCAGAGGTCCCATTTGTACCCCCTGGTTCGCTTGCTCCAGGCGAGTACGGACCACGCACACTACTGCGAACCCTCATGAGGATGCACGAGGTATTGACCATCGCATATCCCGAGAGTCAAGAAAGCATCGAAGCTGGCATCGTGATGCTGCAGGACACTGACGCCTGCGACGACGCGGAGTTAGTGTTGGCAGCCTTGACCCTTATTGACAGTGTGCATCCTGAGGACGTGCAGAGGCATGTGTGGTACTCCCGAGGGAGGTGGCGCGAGGCCCTCGAAAGGGCCATCGCCATGCGCGGCCAGGCTCTTCCTCCGCCAGGATGGGGTCTCCAGGCGGCGGGACTATGGCCAAATAACACTGCCATGCGCAACATTGCTGGGCAGCCTGTGCTCGGCAACGAGCCTGGGCCGACAACCGTGCCGCCTACTCCGGGACAGCCGAGCGACGCACAGACGCCGGCTATGCAGGGAAACCTGCCTGTCCCGGCTGCGCCAATGGCCATCATCATTGGCAGTTCTACATCAGAAGAAGAAGAGGGCGATGGTTGCGGGCTATGCGAGGATGAAGCCACAATCCTCATGATGGAGGTCACCGGTGAGGAAGAAGTGGACTTTGATCCTGACGAGCCTGATGCACCATCACCATCGGCACAAGCGCCATTTGCGCCGGGCTCCAGCCAGCAGGGAAACCCGCCTCTACTAGCCGATCCACCTGGGATCGCACAGGAGCCTCCGCCGGCGCCTCCGCCGGCTTCTACTCAGGCTGCTTCGGCAGCCTCTTTTGATGAGAATGCTGGAAGGTCTCGTTCCCATCCGCGCGTCAGAGGAGAGCCACGTCCACAGGCTCGGCTTCCTCGTGAATATAGGCAGGCTGGCCCAAAGGAACATGCTCTCAGGCGAGGAGGCGAACTACTTCCCTATAATGACCCAAGACGCCGTAAAGGGGAACACTCGGCCTTCGGCAAGGGCAACCCTGCCTATAGGGACGCTCAGGGTAAGGCCATCCGCGGAGGCTACCAACTTGCAACAAACATCCGCCGCCCTGAACTTGAAGAAGTGCGGACGCAGCTGCGAAACGTTGTCGCGGCTCGCAAGTTGAATAGGCCCCAGGCAGCTTGCGGACCTTGTCCCGAGCCGTTCCAGAACCACAGGCCGGGATGCCCCGTAGGAAATAATGAAGGTCTGAGCCCAAACAGGGGCAAAACCCCTCATGAGGAGGGCGCCCATCCGCCACTGATCCTTATGACGCAG